GGAGACTTGAATGTCGCGAAAATCTTGGAGAGACGTTGGAGCGCCTAGGTCGAAGAAGGTCACCGCTGCTTTCGCAAAGAAGAAGTCTCCGCTTTTTTATTGTGCGCATCAAAAAGACAAAAGAAGAACGGGCCACTTCTTTTTGTTGATGATTGATTGGGCTTCAAACCAATTTTGATTGCTTCCTTTCAAACATGAACTCCGATTTGACCTTTTTCTACATTTTTTTTTCAAAAAATAAGATATCTGATAATTTGGGTTAGGAAAAATAAAATAAAAGAAAAGAAAATAATAGAATGTAAAAAATGATTAAAAAACTACTGTTTTTGAAAGAAAATTAAAAGATTGTAGAAATGAGAATTAAAATGAAAACTAAGCTAAACTATTAAAAATTAAACTCTAAAAGTATTTAAAATGCCTAAAATTGAATAAAAAGTACTAACCCAAACCCGAGTTATCAGAGAGTAGAGGGGAGTTTATAACACCAATACCCCTTGTAGTTTAGTAAATGTGTACCATTACCCTCATGGTTTCAAAACTTATGTCGTTGTTGTCACTCATGGTTATGATATTGCTACGCCAATGCCCCCTGGACAAAAATACCCTTCAAATAAAAAATGTTTATGTTTGAAATAAAAATTGAAATAAAAAATTTAACATATACTTCATTCGTCAAATTAAATATTTTGATTTTTTGTCAAAAAAATTTATATTATTATTTTTGAATATGTCGGGACCAAAAGAATATTGAGTAAGGTTTTTTTACTGTATAGTTAGTTATATAATAAAAACATTTTTTAGACCGATGCGCAAGAGATTTATTTCATGACTTAATTTTCCCTATTCTATAAAAGTATTTTTTTTCATTTTCTTTTCTTTTTTTATTTTATTTTCTATCCTTCTTCATTTATTTATTTTAATTTTGATTAAAATAAAAGAAACAGTATAAAAGTAAATTTTTTAAAAAAATCAAAAAGGAAAAAAATAAAGAAATCATAAAATGAACAAAATGAAGAATGAGCTTTAGTTTAAAAATAGAATGTTTCATTGATGTTTGTATCATGAAACTGAACGAATAAAGACCTATTTTGAACAAAAAATGTTTAATTTGAGACAACCACAAGGGTTAACGGTGTGTTAGGGGTGAACGCTGGTGGCAACCTCAGTTGGCACGGCTAGGATTTCGTGCATAGGGAAGAGGGGAAATAACGAGAAAATATTACTCTAACTATACTATTCTTTTTATTTCTTGACTTTGAGTTTGGCATTAAGCCATATTTATAGTAAATAAAACCCTAATCCTATCCCTTCGGTTTAAGAAAAGTGTTAAGCCAAAGAACCGAAAAGAAAGCCCTGGAAGGAACTTATAATTCCACTCACCTAATAAAATCTAAAGTACAAATAAAGGTGTGGAATAATTAAATAAAAATATTATTAATGACAGACATAATCCTTGTATTGTTGGGGTGCCCAACGATCCTTCGCAAACGTCTCACCACCGTAGGAGAGGGGGAATCTTCTTGTTCGTCATCGACCGAGTGCTCTTGGTCCATATAAACTCCCATGGCATTGGGAGCAGCCTTGTCCTCAAGGCGAATGGTGGGAAAATGTTCGCGCAACATATGCACGGGCTCCCATGTGGAATCGTCGTTGGACCCTTAGGACTAACGAGGAAAACATTGTTCTTGAGGTACGCCGTTGACGAGTACTGTCCGACTGCGAAGGGCTGCCACCGAAACTGAGAGAGGGCAGTTCTAGAAAAATTTCATGGGCTATGTTTGTGAAGGGATGCCGGTTCCCGGAGCCACAAACGGACGAAGGAGGAATACGTCAAAAACGTCGTGAATGCGGCAGCCATCAGGTAAACTGAGACAATATGCACCAGGCCCGACGCGTTCCAACACTGCGAAGGGGCCGTAGTAACGCCGGGCAAGCTTAGCAGACTTTGGTTTGTTAATGGATTGCTGGCGATACGACTGGAGTTTAAGAAGCACCAAATCACCCACCAGAAAGGAGACATCACGCCGATGCAGATTAGCTTGAGCGCTTATGCATTGTTGCATCTTTCGGAGGTTGGCCTTTGATAAGTCCGTTTTGTACGCACTTATCTTCTCTTTATTTAACGTGTTGTTGTCCAATTTTGGATTAAACAAATCAATTTCTCAATGGTTTTTATAAGTTTTTATTCATAATTGTAAAAGTGCACAAAAGTTATGTCTAGTTTTAAAAAGAATAAAAATTGAGTCAAAAGTGGTACAAAAGTGTAAAAGATTGTGCAAATGGGATGCAACGGAGCAAAGAGGGAAAAGATGGTGAAAATCCATGAAGTGAAAAATGTGGATTCAAATATGGCGATGCACCCCGTTAAAAGATTTGATGTCAAACGGATTGAAAAAGCACCAAAAAAAGAATTGTTTGAAGTGAAAAAGTGAAAAAAAAGTTGTTTTGATTCAAATTAATTTGTTTGACCCAAATTGATTTGGAATTTGAAGTCGGCGCAGAAGGAAAAGTTGTTCAGAATAAAATTTTGAGCAAGATAACATTTTTAGAAAAATATTTCGGACAAGATCAAAATCCGGCCAACCAGGCGCTGCCACGTGGCGCGACCTGGCTGGCCGGCCAACTACAGCAGCAAGCAAGTGGATGTCCTGCATCCGTTGTCAGCCACCATCTTCAATCATCAAAAGAAAAAAAAAGAACAGGGTTGAAAGAAGAGAAGGATAACGCAGCGCAGTGAAGAAACAAAACAAAAACAATACTCCAATCTCAGCCGCCGAGCGCACTATCTCCGCGGGGCGGCCGCCCGGGAGCCCGCCCCAGCAATTCTCACGCCTATATAAGGCACGGATCGGCGAGTTTCATGAATCACCAAGCTTTCTTCCGGGTCTCTTAAGGCCCGGACTCAATTTCTAGCTCCTATTTTCAGTTATATTTTAATACTTTTGGTTTATTTTTGTTCTGGTTATCTCAAAGTGGCTCTGGCTCTGCTTTCGGTTGTAAGTTTATTTTTACAACTTTTAATAAAATGTTCTTTTATTTATGCACTGTTAATATCTAGTATGGGTTAGGACCCAGATTAGGGTTCTGGCTAAATTTGGGCATATACTCTGTATGTTTATTTAATAGTTGGAATAATTGTTGTAGAATTATTTTTATTGTTAAATTAATTAATTATGTCGAGAGAAAAATTAATTAATAATTGGAAATTAGTTTTTACCTTGTCTATGAGGATATAAAATTAATTAAGCCAAACTTTTTACAACGCGTTAATGATACCTTGAGAGAGGATAAGTTAATAAAATATTTGTGACAGAAATATTATTATTCCAATTATTGATTAAATATGTGACAACAGTAGTTAACCCAGATGATGCCTTGGCCCAAAATCTACTCCTATACCCGTACTATTTATTTTCTTTTTCTAAAAAGCGATCAATAGTGTAGTTTATTTTTATTTATCGAATCGAGAAGGCTTCTAGACCCGTCCAAACCTTCGCCTAATTATAAAAATTAACTAATTTCCTTCGTCCACTCCTCGAGAGACACGACACTCGAAGAAAACTAACCATTCATTGGCCGTCCACTCCTCGAGAGACACAACACTCGAAGAAAACTAACCATTCATTGGGAAGGTTGACTTACCGAAAAACTAAATAATCAGCCTTAAAGTTGGCTCAATAGTCGATACCTTGGAGCAGACAGAGAGTGGTGAACAAATGCGGCAATTCACGACCATAAAGGGTTTGAAAAGGAGAGACTTTGAGGTCATCATGGTGGCAACAGTTGAGATCTAATTCGGCCTAAGGTAGGAGCGTAGCCCACTTTGCCAGGCTGTCAAAAGTGAACGCCCGTAAATAGAGTTCGAGCCCTCTGTTCATCACCTCTATCCTGTTAGTCTAAGGTGATAAGTCGTGCTGAACTTCAAGGTTGTGTCACTCAATTTAAACAACTCTTTCTAGAAAAGACTCATAAAGATAGAATCCCGATCAGACATGACATCCAAGGGAAAGCAATGATGCTTGACAACCATGTTGAGGAAGATGGTTGCCACCCGTGGTGCGTCGAAACCCATAGGCAAGGGACCAAAGTGATAGTATTTAGACAAGCGATCCACCACAACGAGGATGACAGTGTAGCCACGCGATGGAGGTAGACCGGTAATGAAATCAATTAAGGCAGAGTCCCACACTTGGTCAGGCGTGGGTAAGGGCTCAAGAAGACCAGCCGGCCGCTGCATAGAATATTTGGTCGCTTGACATGGAACACATGCCGCAATAAAAGCACATACGTCCTTACGCATGCTCGGCAAATTAAACACCGCCGCTAGACATAAAAAATTATGGTCAATCCCTTGGTGACCCGCAAGAGGAGTGCTGTGAAACTCGGTCAGAAGCTGCTCATAGAGGTGGGAATCCGAGCTAAGGTAGATCCTCCATTTGTAATATAGCACCCCGTCATAGATAGTGCCCCCGATAACGCCGTGCGTGCTTCGACGCTGGCCTTGAATGCTGAAACATTTGGCCTGGTGCGCTGCTTGGTGATCACGGCATCAATAAGGACCGGGATAGGCTGAGATAGTGCTGCAAAAGAACTTGTCGCGTCCTCATCGATGTCGCTTCTGGACAGTGCGTTCGCGGCCTTATTGGACACACCGGTTTCGTATTCAATTTGGAACTTGAACCCCATAAGCTTCCGGACGTAGAATTGTTGGTCTGGCGTTTTGATGACCTGCAACAAGAGATCTTTGAGGCTTCGATGGTTGGTGCGAATAACAAATTCATGTCCAAGTAAATATTGACAGGATTTTTGCACATGACTCCACAATGGCTTATAACTCTTTGGGATATGTCAAAGCGGCTTGACAATGCGGCTGGACTTTTTTGCTAAAGAAGGCCAAGGGATGACTATCCTAAAGCAGTACGACGCCTATCCCGGAGACAGAGGCATCAATTTTGATGTAGAACATTTGGGAAAAATCCAGGAGCCATAGCACTAATGGGGCAACCAATGCAGCTTTGAGGCGCTGAAAACTCTCCTCGGCCTGGGGCATTGTTAAAGACCCATCGTGCGGTCTAAAAAAAATTAAAAATTTATAAATAATCTTAGCTAACCCCCATGATATAATCAAATTAAAACTATAGCTAGGGCAAGTAAATTAAGGGTCGATCCCACGGAGAAAGTTTGTACTTTTTGAAATCAGTTAAGCATGCACACACATTGTTACCAAATACAAATAAAATAAAACTAACTACTACACATATGATAACACTTAAAAAAACTTGAGTAAATTTTATAATTGATCCTTTATAAGAGGGGTTTTCCCTATTTAGTCCTCTATTATCAAATATTACCTCAGTGGTCCTTCTTTTATGGGTATCTTTCCACAAATAATCCTTTTTTTGATCTTCTATCATGTTGGTGTTAATTTGAGGGCTAAAAGTGTAATTTCAAAATGATAATATATTTTTTTGTCATACACAATTCCAAAGGCTCTTCCGTTTGCATCATTTGTGAATAACAATCGCTTTTTATGACAACTATAGTTTACAAATGTGGTCTTTCGTCAGAATTCTAACCCACAATCATAGTCATTATTCTTGTGTTATCCACTTAACCAATATCAGAACACGTCACTAGACATAATGTTGATGTCAAGTTATACTTTTAGCCTTTAAATTAACACCAACATGACAGAAGATCAAAAAAAGGATCATTTGTGGAAAGGTATCCTTAAAAAAAGGACTGCAGGGGTAATATTTGATAATAGAGGACTAAATATGGAAACCCCCCAGTTATAAAGGACCAATTATGGAATTTACTCAAAAACCTTTTAATAAAATAAATATAAAAACTTATAAATATAACTAATATAAACAAAGAACTTATAATATAGCTTATACACATAAAACACATATACTTAAGATACACTAAAAGAATAAAGTAAAAAAAACTTCTATTTATAACTTATAAACAAACACTTATAATATAACTTACAAAAAAACTTATATTATAAACTAAAACAATGTAACAAAAAGGTGGGGTGTTGGATGAATAGTAAATATCTTTTAGGTTTTTATATTTTTCATTTTTTTGATAAAATGGGAGAAACAAGCTCAAAAGATAATCAACTTCTCCAACTAAGGTAACCCAAAAAACACCACTAAGAACCCCAAACTAAATTAAAAAGAGAACGAACACAAACCAAACATTACACGCATAATAGACACGTAGACAATATATTACGTAACTTACACACTTAAAAATAGAAAATAATTCAAAGGCTCGAGTTGAATCATATCATTGACCACATATAGATGATCGTCAACTTTCTATAAGGTCCGGAGTCATGTAATTCAAAGGCCTTTTGGATCACTTTGAGCCCCAACTCACATCAAGCGCTCAAACAATGATTCCAAAAGATGAAAACGTTTATAAAAGAGTGAATCGTTCTTTCATTCAAACTCCCATGCATAATTTATCCATAAAGAACATTTTATACACTCAAGCATTAGAATTATAGTCTATTCACATAAGGAAACAATACATATTTTCAAAAACTTAAAAAATATTTTTGTGCTTAAACAACCTTAAATTTTATGAAAACAAACAAACAAACACACGTCATAACAATCACTCAATAACGAATATTAAGGAAAATGTCCAACTTATGGGGCTAAGAAATCCAAAATCCTTAAAATTTTACAAAACAAATACCACAACGAAGAATCACGTAAAAATTCAGAAATCATTTAACTATAATATGGAGCTAAAATAGCTTCAATCAAAATCGAATTCCACATATTAACCTACTTATGAAATCAAACCATGTAATTCAATCAATTCAATAACAATTTGTACAAAGATTGAAGAAAACTAGTATGAATCAATTCTCATTCATAAGCGATTTAATATAAACATTAAAAAAACATAAACCCAAAAAAACACCAAACATTTTTAGAAATTTTCGAAATTAACACAAACAAGGAAAAAAAGTGTATGCTTGAATTGAAACAACACTTTTACAAAGAAATTGAAGAAGAAAAAGAAATTGACAAATATAGGGTTACCAATTGTTAAAGAAAATGAAAAAATTGAAGAAACTGGAGCTCCAAGAAACTGCCAAACCTCTGCCGGAGCTACTGCCGCCGCCGGCCATCGCCTCGCCGGTCGCCGCCATAGCAGCGGCTTGGCCGCTGCTTTATTCCTGTACGATTCCCCTCTCCTTTTAGCTGCGATTTGTTTTTCAATTTATACCCGGAGGATTGTTCCGTTGATTTCTTCCCGTTGGAGAAATGATTCTAGCGATAAATGTGGACCGTTGGAGCGCCTGGGTCGATTCTCTCTGCCGTGAAGAAGAAGTTGCGCAGGTTTCTTACTTATCTTTTTTTCCCTTTTACGTGTGAATTGAATTGGTATGGAGTGATTTGACTTATTTTATTTTGATGGTTTTTGACTTTGGCTCAAATTCAACATCTTCTTTTTAAACTTGAACTTTGTTTTGGCCTTTCGCTGCACTTTTTTCCAAAAAAATATGATATTTGATAACTTGGGTTAAGAAAAATAAAAATTAACACTACTACAAAAACGACCAAATAATCACCACATTTGCATAGATCCGCAAAATAAACGATTTAAATGAAAAAAAGTTCGCGTATCGGTTCAAAACCGATTTAGAAGGTCAAAATAACCGATTTAAAAGGTTTTTTTGTAGTAGTGTAAGTAAATAATAAAATGTAAAAAATGATGAAAAAAACTTCTGTTTACGAAAGAATAATAATAGATTATAAAAATAAGAATTAAAATAAAACTATGATAAAAGACTAAAAAATTATATTCTAAAAATATTAAAAATGCCTAAAAAAATAAAAAGAACCAACCCAAAAACGACTTATCATATCAGGCATCCACTAAAAGTTGTCCTTCTTGAGTAATTCCATAAGTGGTGCTGTGATAAAGGCATACCCCAAGATGAACCTCCAATAATACCTCGTGAGGCCCAGGAAACCCCGTAACTGGGTCGCGGATTTGTGCTGAGGCAAATTGAGCATCACCGAGACCTTCCCTTGGTCGTCTTTGAGATGTCATGCGGTCACCAATTGCCCCAAATAATTGATGGTGGTCTGGGAAAAGGAGCATTTAGACTGCTTCACAAAGAAGGAGTTTTGGCGAAGCACCCCCAACACCGTATTGAGATGGTCTGCATCCGTCTCCAAATCTAGGCTATAGATGAGTATATTGACGAATAAGACGATAATAAACTTGCAGAGGTAGACACGAAACACATGGTTCATGGTAGACTAAAAGGTGGACGGGGCGTTCGTAATGCCGAAAGGCATCACCAAGAATTCGTAGTGCTCGTCATGGGTACGAAACGCTGTTTTAAAGGTGTCTGCCTCGTGCATCCGAATTTGATGGTACCCGGCATGCAAGCCCAACTTAGTGAAGATTCGGGCAACGCCCAACTCGTTAAATATTTTATCGATGGTGGGTATGGGAAAATGATCAGGCACTATTGCTGCATTCATGGCCCTGTAATCGACACAGAAATGAAATGATCCATCTTTCTTTCGCACCAAGAGAACTGGAGAAGAGAAAAGGCTCTAGCTAGGACGAATTATCCCCTGTTGCAGCATGTCTTGGACCTGTTGCTCAATCCCCATCTTTTAAAAATATGAGTAACAATATGAGTGTACATTAATGGGCTTCACATTAGGCTCCAAGTGGATCCGGTGGTCCCAATCTCGACCGAGTGGCAGCGTGGTGGGCGTGTTAAAGACTTCGACATGTGTCTTGAGGATAGATGTGATACCGCCTGGCACGTTTGAAGGTAACTCAAGTTCCGCAACAATAGGGGGAGGGACCATAAGGGATGACACAATCTTGTAGAACTCCAGGGGCTGTTGGGCCGCAGCCATGATGCATGAATTACAGTGGGAAATTGGCCTGGGACACGGAGCATCTGTAAGGTAACCATGCAAGGATAGGCAGCGGAATATAAAAATTTTAACATCCTAACATGATTATCTTGCCCAGAATCACGTACTAAAACTTATAGTAGTAAGAAATTTGTACCTTTCTCCGTAAGCGGTAAAAATGAAGAAGTCGTAGGAAGAGCGTTGAAAGTGCAAACGTAACCGTTCAAGCGTCCGGTCTCCAACTTTGACACATGAACAACGCCGGAGTCTACCACAATCTTTATGCTAGTAAAGATTGTAGTAGTATAAAATATAAAGATTAAAATTGGGATAATAATAATCTTGTATATATCTATAGAAAATATTTCTAATAATATTTAAAAAATATTATTGATATTTTCTATACACAAAATGATATTAATGGAACACAAAAGAATTTCTCTCTCAAAAATAATGGTGGCCGAAAAATCCTTTTGAAAAATCCCATAGTTAGCTAATGATTTGTGTTGGTTTAAATAAAGTATGATTAGTAATTGATTTTGTCATTAGCTAATATGACAAATCAATTTAGTCACTCAAGAATCAATCAAGACATAATTTTGATTCATTAAATCCTCATATGGCCGAATGATGATTTTGAGAAGGATTTTCAAAATTCTTCTCCACTTAAATGTTCAAAGTGTATTTTCTTTGACACCAAAAATTAATATAAAATTAATTTTAAATCAAATAAAAATACCCATATTATTTTTTAAACAAGTATACAAATATACTTTAAATAGTTTATGTCAAAATAATTATTTTCATAATTAAAATGACAAACCAAAATAAAATATTCAACATATAATATATATATATTTCGGTATTTATATATATAAATATATCACCAAATGTTTTACATATATAATATTATATTCCAAAATATTTTATTTTACTATTTTACAAATATACAAATTACTTATTATCCCATTGTTTAATTCTACTCCTTAAATTGTTCAAAGTGTGTGACCCGTATAGGCACTTATAAAGCTGGCCATAGTATTGGCTCTGCACCAATACTATAAGCAATAAGCGGTATCTAGCAACACATTATTGCCCCCAGATTATAAGTTAAGACGTTTGCACCGTCAAAACCTTTCCACGACTCAGACTCCGTGTAACTATATCCCTTTGTCTCAATGTCTAAACTCAATGCAAGGGATTAATAAAATCCAGCTTGTATCCATTAAGTCATTCACTGATTTATCAAGTCTGACTAATAGGAACAGACATCATAAAAGCATCTCAGCATGGCCATGCAATTTCCTTGGTCATAACTTATCAGTGGGCCCCATAAGACATTAATTTCTTTAAAAAGAGTAGTGACAAATCCTATGTACGTAATCTACGTTTCTGAATACGCGCTGCGGCATACCCAAAACAAAGCCTGTATACCATCCTTATTTCATATGGCTTAGGACAATGCATCAAAGTATGCGTGTTCACATATGCAGAAAACGTAATACTTCAAGTCGAAGGATAGTTACACCCGTGGTCGCGCTAAAGATGCTTAGAGCATGAACTAAAAATTCAAGCAACATATTTAGAATGGGTCAGTCCGGCATCCTATTATCTCTAGATAATATCTGCCCATGTGCGGATGCGAACACACTGTCATTGACTATGAGACTAAGTCAAACATCCAACACACACTAGTCTCACATGCATTAACGATATCCCACTCTCGTTAATACTCGACTATGGACATTTAGATAAATATTTATTTCAAGATGTTAGTCTCATCAGCAGAATAAAACTATCTGATAAACATCTTTAAATATATATCTAGGAATATAATATTTGTTTACATTAGCATGAGATNGAGATGTGTAAACATATTATATCTGCCTATAGATGATAGAATAATGATAAACAGTTGGCCATCAGGGCACAACTCCAACAGCATCACCACATAAATGCACGGTCGACCCATTCAATGTGAATTCCATGGTTATATTAGCATAATCATGGGACACCTTTCTGAGGGTTTGCAGCCATTGTACGCCCAGCACTACTTCTGATTCGTGGATCTCAAACAAATAGAGGTTAATAGCAAAAACATGACCCTGCAAAGTGACGGCGGTTTGGGGACAGGAATAGGAGCATCGAAGGGATTCCCTATTCCCCACATAGACCCGAAAGGGTGTCACTAGATAAAGCACCAAAGAGAGTCTCTGCAACCACGATCCAACAAGATGTGCACGGAGGAATTCTGAATGGTGCCGGTAAGACGAAGGGAACGAGGGCTCAGACTCCCTGCCAAATAGTGCATGCTCGAGATGTTGCCAATAATAACCATGTCGTCCGTGAGTGGTTGGTCGCTGAGATCCTTAACCGTGGTTGTGTCATCATCATCTAGCCCCATGAGAGCTAGGAACCGACATTTACACGGATGAGTCGGACCCCACTTCTCGTCATAATACCAATAGAGCCCTTTTTTTCCTCGTTCGTCCTTCTCAGCATTGGTGAGCCAAATGATGGGTAAAGGTGTGACAGAGCGGCCCTCGAGTTGTTTGGTAGTGGTAGGCGTGGATGGTGTGGTAGCACTTGAAGTCAAACCTATCAGAGAGGGGTTGTTGCAATCGAGGAGACGACCACAGACGGCGCCCAGAGGAGCCGTATGCGGCATGGGCTTCGTGGAGGCTAGCTGCGTACTCCCGAGCCAAGGTGAAAGCTTCCTGTAATGTGCCAGGGGTACGGAGATTCATCTCGCGTTGAACGGGTTGCTTGAGACCGGCGATGTACATAGTAGTACGTGTGGGTTCCGGAACGCCGGACACTTTGTTCAAGATAGCCTCAAACAAGGACTGATAATCCATGACGGTGGTGGTTTAGTGTAACTTGGAAAGAAACCCGATGCAATTCTTGTAATAGTCGGGATCAAACTGTTGCATGACCGCGACCAAAAACACCATCCACGAGTCGTTACAATTGTTTGCTTGATAGTAGCAAAACCATTCCGATGCCGGATGGTCAATGAGAATTGCTACCAAATGAAGACGTTCGGCCTCCGGGGTAAGAAAATAATAAAGTACTTCTGGATTCGAAAAATCCACCCGATAGGATCCTCGCCAGAGATCTGCTGTGGGTGCATCGATGCACATGCGAGGCAGAGGATCAGCTGTGGGTGTGAACTGCGACGTGCGTGAGGGTGGCGGCTTCCATGCAGCCGGCGGAGGAGGATACGATGGGGGGGTGCCGTACGTCGTCGTTATGGGATGGATTACCTGCTGCTAAAAGCTCAGCCACACGGCTTTTGGTGACGTACGTCCAATTCCTTGGCGAGATGGGATTTAGTAGTTTCCAATTCCTTCCCCAAATTGTTTGTCGCCCGCATCAGATCGTCCATCGTGAGGGCAGAGTTGGACCGCTATTCGTCAGAGGAGGGAGTGGCCATGGGATCAGGAATGAAAGCACCAGTTGTTAAGGGTGAGCGCTCCTCGCAACCTCAGTTGGCGCGGCTAGGGTTTCGTGCACATTGAAGAGGGGAAATAACAAGAGAATATTACTCTAACTAAACTATTCTTTTTATTTCTTGACTTTGAGTTTGGCATTAAGCCATATTTATAGTAAATAATTAAAACCTTAATCCTATCCTGTCGGTTCAAAAAAAAAACGTCAAGGGAAAGAACCGAAAAAAAATCCGTTGAAGGAGCTTATAATTCCGTTCACGTTAATCTAAAGTACAAACGGAGGTGTTGAATATTTAAATAAAAATATTATTAATGACAGACATAATCCTTGTATCGTTGGGGTGGCCAAACGTTCCTTCGCGAACGTAGGAGATGGGGAATCTTCCTATTCGTCGTCGGCCGAGTGCTCTTGGTCTGTATTACGGTGCACATTTATATAATCACAAGGGGTATTAGTGCAATAAACTCGAGTGGAAGGAGAGACAAAGTTATAGTACTACAAGAGAAGAAAGAAAAAGCGATGAGCGGGGGGGCAAATGTTGCAGGGTGGAGCGGAGTAGTACGTACAAGAGAAAAGAAAAAGTGATTCATTCACAGATCCCTATGGAATGGGAGCAGAAATCTTTGTTGCAACTCTCATTCTTTTTGCAGTGTTTAAAGCAAAGGGACTCATTTTTGATTGGCTTTAATTTGTTCTCATTACCAATCTCAGCCCTCTTTTCACACTCAGCCCACACGACATTTGTGGGGTACAGACAGTGAGGTGATAAGATCAACAACATAAAGCTAAGAAACCATGCATTCGATCGCATACATTTTGAATAATATATTATCCCCCTCTCCTTTATTTTATTTTTTTACACTTATTCTGCGGCTAGCTACCAAACAAAATACTACACCAACTTTCACCTTTCACACTGACTTTTTAATTTCTTACCTAATTATTTTGTTTTCATTGATAATTTGATAAATACTCCGTATAATTTATTCTTCCATTTCCTATTTTGTAAATTTTTTGACGTAGTTTATAATAAATGTGCAAGTGTTTTACCAAATTTTTAAATAATACGAATTTTAAAAAAACTGGATGGACTTCTCCTTTGTACTTTAATTTCCTTTATGCAATCTATTCTAAGACGGGAGTATAAATTAATTGTATATCAAATACTTCCTCAGTCTCTTAGAGTTCTTCCCTTATTGATTTTTTAAAAAACTTAAGAGAGGGATACTTTTGTATTAACTTTCCAAAAATACCCTTGATGCGATGGATAAAGTAAGATGTGATGGAAAGATTATTAATAAAAAGGTATGATGTGATATGTATGGTTAGAATTAATAAGAGTAAAAAGAGTTTTTAATAGATAAGAGAAGAAGTTTCTAAGACAAGAAAACAAAGAATAAAGAAAGAGTTTAAGGGACGGAGGAAGTACTTTTTCAGTATGCATATGGATCTGACAGTTTGATTTTACAAAAATTAAGAAATTTATTGAAAATTTAAAAAATTTGTGATTGAAATTTATAGATATATGTAGAATCAATTCAATGATATCTGCATATTTATTTTCTAAAAAGTGGAGTGTAAGTACTTCATCTGCCCAAATTAATCTTACCACTTCGAACAACATATAAAATCTCATCTTTTTTAAAATGATTTTATTTATAAATTAGTATGGAAATATTTAGTTTTATAAAATAATCAATGAAAATTACATCAAAGTTCTAGAAAATAAGATGTGAGAAAAATAAAGTATAAATGTCCAAAAAAGAAAAGTATAAAGTTCATTTTAAAACTAAGAGATTAATTAAATAAGGAATTTACCTAAATAACACTAAAACATAATGACTTGCATCACATGTGTTTTTTCTTAATGTAGCAGTTTTAGTCATTATCCATTAGTCATTATTCAAGTAAATGTTTGCTGGACATTATGGATACTTTAAGTTCTATTTAGAGAATAAAACAGTTTAAGTGCTATTTAGGGAAATAACTTAATCTTTAGTGCTATTTAGTTCAAATATTTCTAATTAAATTGTCAATAAGAATGAGAAAAAATGAAAATCTCATTGAAAATATTGTTTAGCCTCTATCAAAATTTAGTTGTACACAATTTAAAAATGCATATTTAATTTGTTTTTGTACATATTCAAAGCGTGCACACTGCAACATATTTTTCAGTCTTTAATACATATTTTACACTTCAACAAATTTTTCATTATATACAAGTACTCCCTGCATTCCATATTTTTCTTCTCATTTGACTTTTCAGTCTCTAATAAATATTTTACACTTCAACATACTTTTATCTTAATTCATATTTTTATCTTAATTCATAGACAAATTAAAAAAAGTTGATCGCAAGAGTCTAAATAAATTGGTAAAAAGATTTAGGATGGTGGGAGTAATTATTATGTGTGCATTTATATGATCTACATAATACTAATTGGATATACTCCCTCCGTCCCTAAATAAACTTTCCCTTTCGTTTTTTTGTCCCCAAATAAAATTCTCTTTTCCCTTAAAAACCTCTTTTACTCCTTACTTTTTCATACTCTATCTATCACATCATACCTTTTTACTAATAATCTACATATCACATCTTGCTTTTGCACATCACATCAAGGGTATTTTTGGAAAGTTAACACAAAAATATTCTTCCTTAAATTCTCAAAAAGTAAAAAAGGGAAGTTTATTTAGGGACGGAGGGAGTACCATATAGGAAATTAAAAGTATATCCATATGTACCGTATAATTTACACCTTCAAAGTTGGCCTAATAGCTCAGGTGTCCCCTCTGGTTTGGAAAATTAGCACCAATACCCCCTCTGTTTTCAAAACTTATTTCTAAAGTCCCTGTGGTTTCAAAACGTTGCACCCACACCCCTCCGATCATTTTCCGGCCATTTTCCGGCGAAGAGGGGACATTGGCGCATAATTTCTAAACCATAGGGGCACTCGTGCTCATTTCTTATTTTTCATTTATTATTTGTGTTTTTCCTTCTTTTTCCTTTTTCTAGATTTTTTTAAATTTCTTTTCAATTTTTTATAATGTTTTAAAATTTTTTAAAATTCTTTGTGTTTGAACTAATAAAAAAAATTAACATACATTACATCTATCTCAAATTAAATATTTCCACTTTTTCTTACATAGAATAATTTTTTGGAAAGTTCAAAAAGAAAACCCAAAATAAAAATATGGAAAAACGAAATGAAAAAATTAAAATACGAAAAAAAGAGTCTTTCACAAAAAACAATTTTGGAACACGCCTAAAAATATCCTTAAAATTGAGATGTCCAAAAAGGATAATCATTTTTATTTTTGCACTCCCTCCGTCCCAAAAAGTTTGTTACGTTTAGAAAAAACTTTATCCCATAAAGTCCGTTACATTTCTATTAAAAACCACTTTTACCCCTTACTTTTTCATACCCTACCTATCACATCATACCTTTATTCTAATAATCTACCCATCACATCCTACTTTTACCCATCATATCAAGGGTATTTTTGGAAAGTCAATACCAAAATATTCCTCCCTTAATTTCCCAAAAAGTCAAACCGTCTCATTCTTTTTGGGACGGAGGGAGTATTATTTTGTTTCTTATTTTATTCATCCTTTTTTTGAAGTTCTAAAAAAAATGACCTTTTTTTCGGAAAAAAACAAAAATTGTTAATTTGAGACGTGACGATGCATTATATGTTAATTTTTTCAAACAAAAATAACTTTAAATTTTAAGAACATTATAAAAGTAATTGTAAAATAACCTTTATTAATAAATGAAACAAATAAAGGAAAAAATGGGGAAAAAAGAGAGAAATAAAAAATCAGCACTGATACCCCTCATGGTTTAGAAAATATGCACGAATGCCCCCTTCTTCGCCGGAAAAATGACCGGAAAATGATCGGAGGGGGCACAGGTGCAGCGTTTTGAAACCACAAGGACTTTAGAAATAAGTTTTGAAAACAGAGTGGGTATTGCTGCCTATTTTACAAACCACGGGGGTATTAACGCTATTTGGCCCTTCAAAGTTAGAATAACGTTTTTTTGTTCATTGTTGTGCGGATTAATCATTAATGAATAAAGTAATGCATTTTAAAGGTGACAAATAATATACTCCCTCCCTAAATAAACTTCCTTTTTCGTTTTTTCTTTGTCCCCAAATAAACTTCTCTTTTCCGTTAAAAAACTTCTTTTACCTCTTACTTTTTCATACCCTACCTATCATAGCATATCTTTTTACTAATAATCTACATATCACATCTTAATTTTACACATCAAATCAATGATATTTTTGAAAAGTCAATACAAAAATATCCCTCCCTTAAATTCTCAAAAAGTCAAAAAAAGAAGTTTATTTAGGGACGGAGGGAGTAGATTCTCATTTGTCTCATAGGTCATTCTCACTCCCACCAAAGGATATACAGGAGCTGAGTATATAATAAGGAGTACCATTTGATAGAGAGTAGAGGCATATAATAAAAGAAAGGGGGGGAAAATGGGGTCTTTGGGTAATGATGGCAGTTTAAATAATAATAATGACAATTATTTTTCTAATCCTTGTGTTTCTTCAAGTTTGGCCCCTACCTGCAACTATCCTAATCTCTTTTGGTATGGGGTTGAAGGGGAAAATAATGGCGGAGGGCTCTTCTACGATTTATCCGATGGGTCTCTTTGTACCACGGAGTCCTTCCTAAGGTCACACCCACAAGCTTTCGTGACGCCGTCTCCGGAACGCCGTGACCTCTATGAGGGACCCGACGCCCGGAGTCTTCAAGATCTCATCAGCCATATTCAAGAAAACAACGCCATGCAGCACCAACAACAGGTTCATCTGGCGCAGGACGGGTACCCTACAATTAGAGGGCAGGAGCTCCTACTTAATCAAGCTGGGTACGAATATTTGCAGTCCTTGAGCTTGTCAATGAGCCCTGCAGCCTCACATGTGAGTGTCCCACAACAACAAACTAGTGATGAGGACATTTTGGCCATGGCCCCCAAGAAAAGGTGTTATGGTATGGTGGATAATTATCAGGCCCAGATTAGGAAGTCCTTTGATTCTTTTGGACAAAGAACCTCCCAATACAGAGGTGTTACCAGGTTAAATATTACACTTAGTTGATTCTTCTTCACTTATATTATTATGTGACTTTTAATTAATTTGTGTATTTATACTAATTGTAGAAAGCTAAATAGAAATTAATTAAATAATGTATTTACAATTTTACATACAGGCACAGATGGACTGGTAGATATGAAGCTCATTTGTGGGACAACAGTTGTAAGAAAGAAGGGCAACGTAGGAAAGGACGGCAAGGTTTGCATTTGTTTTTCTGACCATATTCTTGTCATTTAACAAATGTGTCATGTGTAGCAAAACATTTGAGTCAAATAGCACACACACACAAAATAAATAAACTGAATCCAATCGATTAACGAGTTCAATTCAATATGTTCTTTTTTTTTCTAGTTTACTTGGGAGGGTATGACAACGAAGAGAAGGCGGCGAGGTCGTATGATTTGGCAGCAATCAAATACTGGGGAACCTCTACACATATTAACTTCCCGGTATGCGCATATATATTATATTACGGGTCGGGAGTACTATACGTATTCGGTTTTCGCTTCCAACCGTCATTGTGTGTGTGCATTATTTGGTGATGCAGTTGGAGAACTATGAGCAAGAGCTTGAAGAAATGAAGAACATGAGCAGACAAGAATGTGTTGCCCACTTAAGAAGGTGAGTACCTATGAAATTAATTGTGAATTCTAGTGTATCCACTATAACTTTTTAGGTGAGTACCTAAAAATTGTTACATTTTTTACAACTCAATTTCACTTTTAATTTTTTCTTTAAATTTATGAAATCAAAATGTGTCATCACTTAACTCGGGTTGGAGTGTAATTAAAGGGAGTATTAATTATATTGTCGTTATTTATTTAGCACTTTTGACATGAAGTTTCTGGCGAATGTGCATTTTATTTTCAGAAAAAGCACTGGTTTTTCTAGAGGAGCTTCAATCTATAGAGGAGTGACCAGGTCTTGCTAATTAATGAATTTATTTGATTTTTGCAAAGTCTTTAAATTTCTTTGATTCAATGAACAATTTAAAGTAGTGTTCCAAAAAAAAAGGTTAAGATTATTTAATTATTTCCATCTCGATCCTTTAGCAGACATCATCAACACGGAAGATGGCAAGCCCGAATCGGCCGAGTGGCCGGAAATAAGGATCTCTACCTCGGAACATTCAGTAAGCTCATGAACTTATTTATAAATCTACAATTGCGAATAATCCTATATTTATAGTCCGAACATGCATCAAACATCTAATTTTGATTTGTGAGCTCTACAATTGTGTTTTCTCTTTATTACTCCCTATTATTCTATATCTATCTACTCCCTCCGTCCCCATGTATTTGTCCACTTTCATTTTTGCACGCCATCCAATGCACTTCTTTAATCCATTTTATCTTTTAATTTGTATATTAAAAAATTATAAAAAATTATATATTAATAATCTATATGTTAAGACAAATCAAACAAAATCACACATGACTATATTTAGGCTTACACATTGAGAGAATTTGATGAGTCAAAGTGCTTAGATGAACAGTTTCAAAAGCCAAATTTGGACAAATACAGGGGGACGGAGGGAGTATGTACTTACACCCTTCTCCCACCCATACAATTTTGTTGAAAAAAGGCACGTCCGCCGGTTCCAAAGAAACGATGGCCCTAGACGAGACGAAAAAAATGGGTGTTCACTCTAACAAATGACTGTTATAATAATACGCATTATTTTTCTCATTTAATTTTTATTAAAAAGTCATATTTATATCTACTGATTCTTAACATGTCTATCTATCACATCTATCTATCGTATCTTAATCTTATCCACCACATCCAAGGACATTATATTTTTGGAAACTCAACATCAAAACACACTTTCCTTAATCCCTTAAAAATTAAAATCTTTCATGTTTTCAGGGACGGATGAAGTATTATGATAATACACATACCAAAATTGTGTGTAGTTTTATATTTTCTCCGTCTCACAAAATCTTTATTTTTTCTATTTTCATCCGTCTCAAAAAACTTTTCTCATTTCAATTAAAAAGTTATTTTTAGCCTTACTAATTCTTAACCTACCTATCACATCACATTTTCTTACTATTAATCTATCCATCACATCATACTTTTTATCTATCTCACCCAACTATACGTTTGAAACTCAGCACCAAAATATATTCCTCGTTAATCTTTTAAATATTCGAATAAGAAGGTTTTGCTGGACAGAGCGAGTAATTAAATATCATAATAGCTAACTTAAAAATTTAATTTATAATGTAAATTTTAAAAAAAATTCAAAATGTTAGTCCGCCGAAAAAATTGACCCTCTTGGGCCGGCCCTAGCCGCACCTTAAAAATGTATATTTTTCATATTATTTTCTAATTAAGGCTTTACTTTATACTTCCTCCGTTCCAAAAAACCTTCCCCTTTCGTTTTTTCTGAATTCCCTAAAACACTTCCACTTACTATTAAAAAACCACTTTTACCCTTACCTTTCCATACCCTACCCATCACATCATACTTTTTCACTAATAACCAAACTATCACATCTTACTTTTACTCATCACATCAGAGACAAAATTAGAAAGTCGACCAAAATTACATTTTCCTTATTTTTGCCAAAAGTCAAAAGTGGAAAGGTTTAAGGAAACGGAGGAAGTACTTGGTAATAATAGATGAACCATACCAGTAATTAAAAAATAATTTCAAAAAAATTTTTAGGAGGTATTTTTGTCATACGGGCAGGGAAAAGTACTTTTTTTTTCATTGCAACAACGCAACATGACTGTAAGTCCGTAGGGCATGTCAATACCTACAAAGAGGCTGCTTTTGAAATTTGAAGGGGTGCATGTCTGTCAGTACGACTTATATGCTTTTATTTGAGATCATTCTTACCCCGGAGTACTTTCTACCCAGTACATAATGGCCTAATTATTCACTATTTTCGAAAGTTTAATCCAATAAACAAAAAATTGATAGACTAGGTAGATAAATACTCTATCCCCTCCATATTAGTCTTGTTTTTTTAATTTACGATGTTCAACATAAATTATTTTTAATTTAATATATTTAAAAAATGGTAATCCGTACTCCCTTCGTTCTAAAAAAGACGGTCTTTTTAGATTTCGATAGTTGATTGATTTTATTTTAAATTCATTAGCTTTTTAAACAATGACCTAAAATTTAAAATAAAAATTACGAGCATATTATTAAAAACTACTCGTAGATAACATATTCTCTTAAATAAGTTGTGACAAAATTAAACAATACGGAGTATTATTTTAACAAATTACTAATGATATACTCTCTCTGTTTCTGAATATTTGTCCACTTTTGACTTTTTTATCAAATCTGGTAAACTTTGATCTCAAATTAAATAAAAATGATAACTGGAGTATTAGATATTAATATAAAAATAATTTTATTAAATTTATGATATCAAATATTTTCAAAATATTATTTTATTTAATTAATCTCAAAGAGGATGGTAAGTACATTTCATGTGACTATAATCTTAAATTAAGACTATAATTTTGGAACGAGAGGATATTAATCTCAAATTAAAACTACTCCGTATAATTTTGGAACGAGAGGTTATTAATACATGTGAAGTATAATATACTCTCTCTATTTCTAAAATTTTTCATAATTTGATTTCTTTGGTCGAATTGTAACATTCATGACCACAAATTAAGCATAATCTAAAGAAATAGATATTTTAAAAATTTGATATATAAAAATTATATAAACTCAATTATAAACTCCTTCCGTCCTGGAAAACATGGGAGTTTTGATTTTGAAGAAGGGTTTAAGGGAAGTGTATTTTGGTATTAAATTTCCAAAAATGTCCTTTGATGTGATGAGTAAAAGTATGATTTAATGGATAGATTATTAGTAAAAAAGTATGATGTGATAGGTAGGGTATGAAAAAGTAAGGGGTAAAAGTGATTTTTTAAAAGAAATGAGAAGTGTTTTTAGGACGGATGAAAAAAAAAGAGAAAGGTTTTGAGGAACGGAGAGTATTAAATTTATAATACTCCGTATAATTCAATGCTATTGTATGTTTTGCATTGGCCAGGCTCTCAAGAAGAAGCGGCTGAGGCTTATGACGTAGCGGCGATCAAGTTCAGGGGTTTGACGGCGGTGACGAATTTTGAGGTTTCCAGGTACGACGTCGACCGCATAATGGACAGCGCCACGCTTCTCACCGGTGACCAGGCGAGACGGCGAGATCTTACCACCACGACGGCTCCCTGCCAGCTGAAACCTGGCGGCCACGGCGGTCTGGAGGCTGGGTTCGATTATTACACGACGATGTTGGCGGATGCTTCCTCTTCATTGGTAAATAGCGTGCAGAGCTCTAGAGAAGGCAGCCCCGACTTGAACGCCACCCCTCCGGCGAACTTTCGGTCGCCGGCGTCGGAGTTTTACGAGATCCCAGCGGCGATGGCGGGTTGCAGTGGCGGTAATAATAACGCGAATTATTGGGCGGCGGCGCAGATGAGGTCTCACGTGCCCGTTTTTGCTGCATGGACAGATCTGATAATGCGACCCAGCTTAGCTTGTAGGGAGCAATTATAAATTTCACATGCATGATATGAATGAAAACTCGTTTAGTTCGTCGCAAATGATAATTAATTCTCTGAAGCATTATGATTATTTCCCATGAGGAACAACCGGCCGATTACTGACTAGGCTAAATTAAAAATCCATTATTGTCAAATTTTAATTTGTTTTTGAGTTTTCTAAAGTTATTACTCCCTCCGTTCCACAAAACCATTCACATTTTGAAAAAGTATGATGTGGTAGGTAGATTATGAAAAAGTAAGAATAACAGTGGTTTTTTAATAGAAAGTGGAAGTGTTTTGTGAAAAAAAAACGAAAGAGAAAGGGTTTTGTGCAATGAAGGGAGTATTTCTTAAACTCTTGATAAAGCCATAAAGGACATAGTTTTGCCTCGAAATTTTAAAATTGCACCATTATTTCTTATACTAAACTGTTTATATATTGCATGGTTTCCTCCTCCAAATTTTTAAAGAGCATCATTAGTGTTATTATCTTCTTTATGCAAGTTCGGTTAAAGAAGAGGTTAAATCAAGAGAAATTTTTTGGATTTCAACCATGCACCATTTTAAAAAATATTAGATCAACTAATTGTACATTTTTCAAAGTTCAGAGGGAAAGCATGCATTTTAGGAGAAGTGTAGAGACTTATTGAGTAATAAAATAATAGTATGACTATAAGTGAATCTGGATGGCATTCGTATTTTGTAGTTATCATGTCGAACGTAAAAATGATCTGAACATATGTTGAATGGGTCTTCTTTATTCAACAATGTGTGCACTGGACATGCACCAGTAGTCATGTAACTAATAAGTATTTTCAGTGATATCAAAAAATAAAAGTTTGAAGCTCCAGTTTAAAGATTAAGTATTTTCAGTGATACTGGGGTGTAAGTTAAAAGGATGGTTAAAATTGATATGACATAAAAAGAAGATTTGATGCTACACTTTAATTTGAAGCCTTAGTATTTAGAGTGCCCTTACCTAGAGGGATGAGTCACATACGGTATTTTTGTGACAAATTCTATGGTGGTCCTAAGGTCTAATATGGATCTACATTCAAGCAAAATAAGTATTTTCTTATTATTTAAATAAGAACCTATTTTTTTTTTGAATTAATAAAAAAAGATTTCTTATACGAGGAGTTCTATAAATACGGTATACACCCGAGGTGCACTAGAGAAGCACTCCATCATGTACGTACGTTAGGTGTGGTGTATCCACCTAATTGCCTTCGGCTAATTAAGCATTTCTCTCCAACATCATCATTGCCATGTTCTTTTACTCACAAGCTTTCTCTAAAAGAAAAGAAAAAAAAGTTGATAGATGAAAACATGCTTGCCATTTTTTCAAAAAGCGACCAGGGGCCGGGGTACATGCAAATTAAACTACTCCGTACTAGATTATTTGCGTTAGATCGGCGGATCTCATATCCCTTTCTATCCATCTAGTTCCATTATTTTACGTAGTAACGATTTATATTAGAGTCTGTTATTTATGGTTGAAATAAATCTAAAGAAATTAGAAAAAACTAGAAAGACTATTTGGAATAAACTCGAAGGACTAGAAAAACTAGAAAAAAAATTGGAAATCTAAAAAAACTTTAAAAATTCATTTAAGTTTATTTTTTATTTTATTCTCATTCTAATTGTTGTTGTTGTTGTTGTTGTTATTATTATTATTATTATATTCATAATCAAGTTATCTTAATCAATTTCTTTAAGATAAAAAAAATAGTCATTTTTCATACACAAAAATCTACTTTTGCAAAAATTTATTTAATTAGAATATGAAGTTAGCAAAAATATGAAAATGTCAAATTTTAAAAAGTTATTGTGGTTACGTTTCCCCTCAATTTATTTATGTAGTATTTATTATAAAATAATATATTTGTAATTATACCTTATAGTACAAGATTATATTTTAAATATCAGACTTGTCACATAATGTGATCAAACCTATTTCTTTCTTTCATGATCGACATTGAAACTCTTATTTTGGAAATAAAAACATAGAACTCGTATTTTGGTACATTTTTATGTTTTACTCATAGTTTAGTCTTTTCTCTAAAATATTTTAACTTTCAAATTTTTTTATAAAAAATTGAAAAAAAAAAATTCCCCTTGTCAATTAAGAAGAGTGTGAAGCATAAAAATAGTGACATGGAAAAAATAAAAAAATAAAATAATTTATAAACAATATTTATGAATATAATAGTTGTAATAATAATAATAATAGTAATAATAATAATAATAATAATAATAACTATAATGAAGATAATACTAATAATAATAATACTACTAATGATTATTATTAATATTACGATAATAATGATGCTGATAATCACATTAAAAATACATCATTTTTAAAGTAATTGTTTGGGAGTAGAAAGAAATTCACGAAAATGAGAATAGTTGGAAAAAAATAGAAGAAACGGGAAGAAACTGAAAGTTAAGAGTATAAGCTCTAAAGAATAAGCTATTAGAGCATCTTCTTTGAATTAGAAAAGAAGATTTAATTGTTTGAAAAAACCTAAGCAAAAAAATACGGAGTAGAACAATTTGAAAAAAATAGGGAGAAGTTAGGAAAATGCAAAAAACTATAAAGAGTTAAAAGAAATAGGAAAGAATACATTTAAAAAATAGAAATGAGTACGAAGAAACTGAAAAGTATCGAAAATTGTAAAAAATAATGAAAAATGTTAGTATATATTTTTAAATTTCATTTTTTTTCTTAAATTAAATAACTTGTGCTTTAATTATTTCAATTTCTTATCTCTTTTTATTTTTTCCTTTGTCACAATATTTTTATTTTACGTAATATTTATGATAATATTTTTGTAATTCTCACTCGTTTCTACTTTTTTTTACAATTTTTTAACATCAATATCAATATTATGACTATTCATTTCTTAATTTGCTTATTATCACCTTTACTATAAATAAAATATAGCATTTTTCTTCGAAATAGAATTTTCATATTTTTATTTCTAAAATATGAGTTCGCACTGTGACATTATGACACTGTACAGTAGAATCCAACAGTGTTCTTTTATATTTTATACTGACATTATTGGATTGTAGAATAAATTGAACATAAATTTTGTGGTAGAATAATACTCCCTCTGTTCTCAAAAAGAGTTCCTATTTTGAAAAAGTGGAAAAATAAGGAAGTGTTAAATTGTACCTAGTTGACTTCCAATTTTACCCTTGATGTGATGGGTAAAAGTAAGATGTGATGGGTAGATTATTAGAGAAAAAGTATGATGTGATAGGTAGGGTATGAAAAAGTAAGGGTAAAAGTGGTTTTTTAATAGAAAGTGGAAGTGTTTTGTTGGAAGTGAAAAAAATGAAAGAGGAAGTGTTTTTAAAAACGGAGGGAGTACAAATTAAAAATGATTCTATGAAATGCATGTGTCTTGCGAAAAAACATTTGGTAGCATTACAATAGAATTATTGAATTTGAATGTAAATTCAAATAGTAAATTTTATGAATGGTTGAATGTTAAATTATTCAATATTACTACTTATCTTTAAAAATTGCATCCGAGAGAATTTATGCTTTTATAAAAATCAATTTAAAACATATTTTTAATGTACATTCAAATACTAAGATTTTTATTTTATTTTATATAAGGTATGAGCTATAAATATTGATAAATGGAATCACAACTTAAGATACAGGACCAAATCGCTCTTAATTGCTGGATGTGCCTCTGTCCCATGCAATTCCACCCTTGCCTAGCTCTCCCTACTCTAGCAGTTTACTTCCTGGCAACTAGTGATGGCAGCGAGTCGATTTCGGTCAAGGTTTAGTATATCAAAATCCAACCCGACTTAGGTCGAGTTTGGTTTATTTTGTCGGATCGAGTTTGGAGATTTATTTTTTTATTCGAATTCGGTTTAAGATTTGATCGGGTTAATAACGGTCAAATTTGAATTTAAATATAATACTAATAAATGTATCCATGATTAAATTAAGATTGAAATACATAAAAGAAAAAATTAAAATTTTAATGATGAAATAAAAGCTAAGATATTAGTAAAAATAATTATGACTGAATGACTTTGAAAAAATTAAATAGTGAATTTTTAACTTATAATCTAAAGAGTACAAAGAAAATAAATTAGGGATGTGACAAGATTTTTCCACGATAGAAAATAAAACACAAAGAAATACAATAACTTTTAACACTTTCAAAATATATGCATCAAAAACAAATGAAACATAGTTGTTGAAATATTGAAAAATAATATTGCTCCATTGAATTATGAAGTACATGATAGAACATATATAGAAGACACTCCTAACACAACTAGGAATAGAGAATGAAGACTTACTAAAATACAACAACTAGAACAAATAGAATTAGAAAGCTAACCAATAATGAAAGACTACCACAACCAATACTACCACAAGTAATACTATTATTATTGTCTAACATTCCCTATCAAATTGAACTCTGGCTGAAGCAAGAGGAAGTTTGGAGACTAGCTAGAAACTGGAAACTTTGAGAAGAGATAAGTCTGACGTGCGCCGGTGGTTGCTAACGTCATTAGAAAAGAGAGAGGTCGGACGTGCGCCGATGGCTGCTCACATCGTTCGAGAATAGAGAAGTCTGACGTGCGCTGGTAGCTGCTCGCGTTTTTGAAGAAGAGAGAAAGAGTTGATGTGCGCTTGTAGTTGCTGCTGACGTCAAAGATGAACAGAGAAAGCTATTGAAGGTGTCTATTTGATTGAAAATCCTTGACATTTTTTGTCTTTCTTTTGGATCCGGGTAATGCCCTATTTCTTTTCTCAATTGTGAAAATTTTTATGACTTTCTTGGAAGAGTGAGTTATCGAGGTATTTTTTCCTCTTTCTCTATTCCCCCTCTTAGCTTTGCTTTTGTGTTGTACTTTGGATTTTTTAATTTGGTTCAACCGAAGAGAAAGAGAAGGGAGATTAACGATTAGAATATAAGTGATTTGAGAGAGAGAAAAAAGATTGATTAAGATTTTGTGATGGAGAAAAGATCTAGATCTGAGATTCTTATATGGTGAACTGGAGAGATACAACAATCATTTTTTTGCCTAGATTTTGAGAAGATAGGAAGATGAGGTAAGAGAATTTTTGAGGAGTTGCTGATTTGAAAAATTGAAGAAAGACATCAGCTCAAGGGTAAATGAGATAGAGGCTTAGACGACAGTTGAGCGGTTGTGGATTTTGAGGGCACACCCTTCAACGGTTTTTGGAAGAACCATGGAGACGATAAGAGGGAAGCTCCTCCTTTGATAGCTTTTTTTG